GGGAGTTGCTGGTACTCTTCGCCACCTTCTCAGTCTTCCGCCAGGTGCTACTGACTTCCCTGTGGCAGGTACTACTCCTCCGTTACTGTTTCCACCGGCAGACCAGTCTCAGTCGCCGCTGCTACCGCACTCCCCACTGCCTGCTCCTGCTCCTCTAGCTTTGACCTTGAGCCCGAGCCTAGAGCCACTGTCCGTACTCGTGTTCCTCGTGTTCGTCCTCAGCGTCCCCCGGCTGTCCCAGGCACTCAATATATGACACTCCGTCCTTCCTCTGTTCCACAGCGTGTTGTCCTGCCATCACCTCCTGCGTCTTCTCTTCCTGACGTTGCTGACCCTTTGTCTGACCTTGCTTGTGCGTCCAGTCCGACTGTTACTCGCTTTCTTGCTACGGTTGTGACGGACCCTACGTTCTCGTCTCCTGCTGCGTCTGCCTTAGTCGCTGAGCTAGTTGACTTTGCTGCTGCGTACCGCCTAGACTACCTTGCGAGTCTCGTTTCTGACGCTGACCCTGCCTGTCCTCCGTCCGTCGGGGGTGAGGTTGCCCTTGGCTATGACGTTCTTGAGGACAGACATGAGGAGCTGGAGTGCCTTGCGGCTGCTGCACCTCATCTCGCTACCATGCTGCTTGCCCCTGAGGGAGACCCGGATGCACTTGACATCCCCACCCCGCGCTCTTACAGAGAGGCGATCTCGGGTGCGTACTCCTCTCAGTGGCAGACAGCCATGGACGCAGAGATGGCTTCCTGGAAGTCCGCAGGTACCTACGTTGACGAGGTTCCCCCACCTGGGGCGAACATTGTCAGTGGCATGTGGATTTTCAGTGTGAAGCGGCCGCCGGGTTCTCCGCCTGCCTTCAAGGCACGTTACGTCGCTCGAGGCTTCAGTCAGCGTGAGGGGGTAGACTTCTTTCAGACCTTCTCCCCCACCCCGAAGATGACCACTCTTCGGGTGTTGCTACACGTTGCAGCTCAGCTTGACTACGAGCTGCACTCCCTCGACTTTTCGACAGCTTTCTTGCAGGGTAGCCTTCACGAGGCCATCTGGCTGCGCCGTCCAGAGGGCTTCACTGGGTCGTTTCCTGAGGGTACCCATTGGAGCCTACGGCGACCAGTATACGGCCTGCGTCAGGTGCCCCGCGAGTGGCACGACACACTGAGGACGACACTTGCGGCTCTTGGGTTTGCTTCTTCGACTGCTGACCCGTCGTTGTTTCTACGCACCGACACTACTCTGCCGGCGTTCTACATCCTCGTGTACGTCGACGACTTGGTTTTTGCTATTGCTGACACAGAGGCGCTGGCCCTAGTGAAGGCGGAGCTGCAGGAGAGACACACCTGCACTGACCTAGGTGAGCTGCAGAGCTATCTTGGCTTGCAGATCACCCGGGACAGACCACGGCGCACCATCACCCTGACTCAGTCACACATGGTGCACCAGGTCCTTCAGCGCTTCGGCTTCCAGTACTCTTCGCCACAGTCCACTCCTCTGTCTACCGGTCACTCGCTCTCAGCTCCACCTTCGGACGAGTCCGTAGAGCCGAGTGGTCCGTATCTAGAGCTTGTGGGTTGCCTCATGTACCTGATGACGTGCACACGACCTGACCTCGCGTACCCTCTCAGCCTCCTGGCTCGCTACGTGGCACTTGGTAGACACCGAAAGGTGCACTTTGAAGCTGCGAAGAGGGTACTGCGTTACTTGTGTAGTACATCGGGCATGGGGTTCGTGCTTGGAGGACGGGGTTCAGTGGTACTCACAGGACACTCTGACGCTTCTTGGGCCGACGACCAGGCGACACAGCGTTCGTCACAGGGTTACACCTTCAGTCTTGGCTCTGGTTCTGTCTCGTGGAGGTCCACTCGTTCTTCTTCTGTGCTTGGTTCCAGCTGTGAGGCCGAGATCTACGCTGGGGCCATGGCTGCACAGGAGCTACGCTGGCTGACCTACCTGCTGACCGACTTGGGGGAGCGGCCTTGTTCTCCTCCAGTTCTGTACGTCGACAACAAGGCAATGCTTGCCTTGTGTCGCGAGCAGAGACTGGAGCACAGAACGAAGCACATTGCTCTTCGCTACTTCCTTGCGCGTGAGCTGCAGCAACGTGGTCAGCTGCGCCTTGCTTACGTGGCCTCTCGGGCCAACACTGCTGATGTCTTCACCAAGGCCCTTAGGTCTGGTGATCATCAGCGTTTCTGCACTGCTCTTGGGCTTGTGCCCACTCTGCCTCACCTGCTGGTTGCTTGACTTGCTCTTGTTGTACACTGATATATATCTTTATACCTGCTTGTTTACTCTTGCTAGGTTGTGATCAGTGTACTGCCTTGCTATTATATCTCTGCATGTGAACTGGCCTTGTGGCCGCTTGCTTGTGCTCAGATTGTGTGGTGTCCTTGAGCTCCACTCTGAGCTGTGCTTTGCTTTGTTCTCTTGCTTGACTGGTCTTGTGACCGTCTGTTGTGTTTGCTATCTCCCACTTAGCCTATGGGGGTGTGTCAAACTATATGTTTGTGCTCTCTCTAGGCTATAGTGGGTTAGCCTACAAGGGGTACAACACTTTAGGGTTAGTACTTGTACCCAACTCATTCATAGTTCATTCATTCCTGCTTGCTTATTCTAACAGTGCGATCGGATTATGGTGCGACGGGAACGGCTGTCGAGGAAGATCAGCTTCAGGACACAACGTGCAGATATGGCGAGGACGACAAAGCTCATGCCCGCCAATCAGCAGTAAGGCGTCTTTGTTTAACACTCCTGCTCGAATCGTATTATAAGTTGTCGTGCCGCTTGGATGACCTAACCTCTTACCGTATGCCATGTTTCTTCTGATGCTGTGTGTGCGGAGCGGATCGAGAGCTCAGTTCAGTCATTATATTCTCATCCCTAGGTACAAGGTCGTGACTATATAGACACGTGCATTGAGTCGAGTTTGAGGACTCTACTCGTTCACCGCACTCGGCACGTGACGAGTGTCGAGTGCGAGGTTTGGCCGCAAAAACTCGGTCCAGCCGAGCCGAGTCGATACCACACTAACAGTTATGCATGCAGTTAGATAAGAATATACAATACTGACAACTTTGTAGAGGCACATATATAAATAGTTGCACTGAATGCATTGATAATTTTGCACAAAAGAGAGAACGTGCTTGAATGGGGATTTTTGGGCTATATATATATGTATTCATATGTATATATATACCAATGGTGGCAATACTTCTCCAAATTACTTCGAAGACCCGTCAAACCACATCAGAAAGTAGATCTTATTAGTTATTTGTTCTAGTTGTGACTGTATGGATTAGCGATGCCGCTGTTAGTGACCAATAACTCCCTTGCACTCGGTTGTGGGTTTTCGAGGGAGCCCAGTCAACATGATGGAGCCCAGTCCCAGTCACATGAAATGTGACTTCCCCGTGCTCTCCCTGATGGTTTCTTGCCGCACGTGTCCGTTCATTGGAGCAGGTGAGTTCACATTGCGCCTGTCCCACTGCCTGCCGACATGCCACTGTGTCGCTTAGTTGTGGGATGCCGATTGGGTCACACAGACCGCGCGGCGAACCGTCAAAAGGCGGACGAGTGACAAGCAGGGGTCTCGATTCGTTTTTGGCCACCCTGTGGAATCAGAGTTCGGGGTCAAAATCACACTGCCGCTGCAGTGTACCTGCTGCGGCGCACCCTAGAAATGGCAGGGTGTTCCAACATGTTTCGTGTGATCTGGCAGGGTGGAAAAAAAACTACGCTGCTGTGGTGTAGGGTCTAGGAAGGAAGGACTTCCACTCGGATCATGAACAAGAAGTCACCGCGCCATTTGACGCCCGTCCATCCTTGACGTGGTGTGAGTGAGTCATCGTGTCAAGCACTTAGCCGATTTTCGAGTTTTATGGTGAAAATGACGGGAGTACACGAAGGGACAAAGGTCGCAGACAGGGTCCGCCACTATCGAACTCGACCAAGGCAGTGTGTTACGGAATACTAAAACTGCAATATAAGGGTGGTTTTTTATACGTGGCCGGATGGTGACAGGGTGGTACAGCAACCGAATCCTGTATTTACAGGGTGGTCACAAATAATCACCCTGAAAAACAGGCTAATCAGGGTAAAAAGCCCTGTAATCCTGAGGCCTGGTGACAAGAAGTTTTTTAGTTCAGCCTCAGAATGTCTTCCTTCGAAACGTTTTAGCCTGATCACCTTGTTTTGGTGCATAGATTTCTACACAAGGCTGCACACTGTTATGATAAGAGGATGCAGAGTGGGGAAAGTGAAATAATAATCGCAGAGTCCCTGTTGTAAGCAAATCAGGGACAACCACACATTTTAAGCATCCTTAAAATTACAGTTCTACAACCAGTGATGATGCTCCACAGGGCCCCACCGACATGTTGTATGATCTTGCCCACAGCAGCCAGGCCTCCCGCATTGTGCGGGGAAAAATACGTTCTTCTTTTTCCCTTTCCACGCTACGCAAAGCTCCAATGCGCGTCGTGCAGCACCCAGATCCCTGACACCGGCACGGCAGCGCTGCATGGCAAACATAGAATGTTGTTCGAGCTGTCGTCACTCATCGCCTCCCCGCCACCCTCTCTGCCTCTCCTCTCAACTCAACCCATCCTGTCAACTCTCTCTCCATCCCTCCCATTCATCAAAGCAGAAACATTTGTCGCTGGCGACTCGCGCCGAGCATCACCGCCGCATCTCACCACCACCTTTCTCCGCGCTAGTTTCTTGCTTTGCCAGCGCACTTTCATTGAGCTTCTTCTAGAGGCTCTTTCCGGTGAAGGATTGTCAACCTCCCGACTAGCTTCTGTCTTCTAAAAGTCCCAGCAGAGTAACTCGTTCGATCATCCTATCTCGCTGAATCGAGGTGACCTTGAAAAAGGCCTTAGCTTCCCCTCGCCTAGCATTACTACTGTCGCGAGTAGTCCTATTCGGAAATCCCGCCACATTCGCGGTCGAACTATCTGATGAGGAGTCAATGGCGGTTCTCTCTGGCCCTGCGCCAAGAGTCGTTAATGCGCGTCCTGGTCCTAGTAGCATGCGTCGCGTGGACGCTCGCTGTAGCCCTCGCAGGAAGCGACAGCCAGGGTCATGCTGGTGCCGACGCTATTGCCGATGCGCAGATCACGCCTAATGGCCCGCCAATTCGTTATAATCTCACCACGATCCTCGCTACCTTAGCCTGCATCGCGCTCGCAACTCTCGCTTCCATACTGTCTCTTTTCTTCGTCGTCGCATCGCGATGGGCAGGTCTAGGTCAGGTCGACTTCAATCCCGCTGCGACCCCGTCGTCGTTGTCGTCAGCATCGCAGGGCGACGCATCCGACGGGATTCTTACCGCCCCAAAGACAACCTGTTCGTTCGCGCTGCGAGAGGGTGAATCGCCGTACGCCATCTTCGCGCCGTGCAAGCCAACGTCCACCAGTGCGCGAGTGCAGGCCGTTCTTGAAGTCGTGCTGCCGGCGGCCATAAAGGCCGTCAATTGGACCGCGAAGCTGTCCGGGACCTACGCGCCGTGGTTCCGCCCTTCGCACTGGTTCCTCCCAAGCGACGTGGAATCGATGCTTCGAATCGCGTCGTGGTGCACCGGATTGACCGACTTCGGCGACACGGGCTTCCTGAAGGCTCTCGCGCTCTGCGTGCACGACACGGAGAGATACGCGAGTCTCACGCCGTTCGGCCGCATCGCCATCTGGCTCGACGTGCAGCGCATGCTGCAAGGCCGGCTGCGCCTCGTCGACTGCCGCAAGCGCTTCCCGGAAATCGAGGAGCAGCAGATTCGCGCCCCGATGGTCATCTTGGGAATGCCGCGCACCGGCACGACGCTGATGTACAACCTCCTGTCGCTTGACTACGAGCAGTTCCGCTCGCCGCGCTCGTGGGAGTGCCGCTACGTGTACCCGCCGCCGCAGGCGGAGACCTTCCGCACGGACCCGCGCGTTGCGCTGATGGAGGACACGCTGCGCGCAGTGCACGCGGTGATTCCGGATCTGCGCACCATCCACCCGATGTACCCGGAAGGCCCGCAGGAGACGTTCGAGCTGATGTGCTACGGCATGACGTCGTTTGTTATTCCGTTCACGCACATCAACGCGCCGACGTACCTGGAGTGGTTTATGCGCTCCGATATCACCCCCACGTACGAGTTTCTCAAATGGCAGCTCAAGTACCTCCAGTGGCGGGGACCCAAGGCGCCGCAGTGGTTGCTAAAATCGCCGGAGCATATTTTCTCTTTGCGGTCTATGCTCAAGGTGTTTCCCGACGCGCGGATTATCTGCACGCACCGCGATCCCGTGAAGGTGATTTCGTCCGCGCATAGTCTGATGCGGTGCTTCCGCTCGCTGACGTCGGATCCGGTGGATAACAGCATGATCGCGCCGCTGTGGGCGCCGCATCTCGCGCGTGCGCTGGATGACATGATTGACCTGCGCGAAACGGCGACGCTCGGAGCGGACAGTAGCGGGGACGAGGAGGAGGCTTTTATCGGGGACGAGGAGAGCGCGGACGAGAGCGGGGATGATAGCAGCAGCAGCAGCGGCAGCAGCAGGGGAGGGGCGCGGAGCTTGACGAGCAGCAGTGGGAGGAGCAGCAGGAGCAGCGATTGTGCTGCAAGGGAAGGGGCGCCCTCCGACGGCGTGGATGCGTTGCAGCAGTGGGACTCGTCGTTGGCCGTGGATGTGCGATTCCACGAGTTTGTGCGAAACCCGATTGGCGAAATCAAGCGAATTTACGCGCATTTCGGCGACGAGCTGTCGCCAGTGGCGGAGGCCCGGATGCAGCGGTATCTAGACGAGGACCGGCTGGAACGGAAAGCGCACCGCCACGTGTACAAGTGGGAAGACACGTGTCTGGATAAGGACCAGGAGAGAAAACGGTTCGCCCGGTACGTGCAATACTTTAACGTGGCACAGGAAGGCTAGCGGTTTGTATGGCCGAGGAGGCTTCGGGGAAGTTGAGTGGGCTGGGGTCGAAACGCCTCTCGTGAAGAAAATCCCGATTGGGCTGAGGGAAGCAGGGATGACTAGGGGGGAAGACACAGGAGTAGGACGTGGGCGGGAACATCACGGCATGTTACCGTTGGAACCTAGGCATGATCGCGAGGTGAGGGGCGAAGATGGGGCAGCTGGGGATGCGGTTGCGAGAGGTACGGCAGAAGGTGCGCAAGATGCGGTTGGGGTCTCCGTGAAGGCTTGTGAAGCTGGGAGGCTCGGAAAGTTTGGAAGGCTTGGTAGGGGCTTACGTTTGGCGCACACGCCAATACATTCTTTAGCTGCATGAAGAGAGCGGTGTAGAGGCGTTAGGTTCGAATGGACTAACAACCATGAGGTTAGTGGTCCGCATGGTGGACCTAGGTGCCTGAGGTTTCACCTAGTGAGGAGATGACACTAGCTAGGGATTACCGTAATTGGTAGGAGCTGTCATTTAATATTCATTTATAATCAAACTTTCTCCAAAGTCTGGTTTGGGGTATCAGAAAGAGCCCTCGTGGCCTCCCTGGTACAAGTACCGTAATTAGGCAGTTCTTTGTTACTAATTAAAACAACCAAGCACCTGCACACGACCTTGCTGTATTCTGCAGGTGGTCAGGTCAGGATGGAATGAAGTCACCCACCCACACCATGTATGTTATGATTTGTACTAAACAGAGTGCGCGGAAGACTTTATAAAAAGGATGAATTCCAGCATGACGAAATAATGAAAAGAGCGAGCATTTATAGGGCGAATACGTGCTATGCGAGAACCTCGTGACGTGCGAGGGTTGAATGTCTCGCGATTGGTGCGGGGCGACTCGGCAGTGGTTCGGGCCGAAATGTAGGCCGAACCAGAATCTGACACGAAGAGCTCGGGGCTGTCCTCGCCAGGAGCAGCTTCGGCAGTAATGAATTGTATATTCATTACAATGTAGGTACCGTGGTTGCTACATGGAACACCACAAAAACAAATTGCACTTCAGTTGCACTTTCCAAGAGAATGAAGCTGTCAACATGGCAAGACATGCAAGCAACACAGCAAGACTCTAGCAACAGCTCGTTAGTGCCTACATTAGCAGAAAGTGCACCGCACATACACTTTCTGGCAAAAATCAGTTGTTCAGCTGAGAGTCCCGGCAACCTGCGTGGTTTGTACGGTAGTACCGTAGTGGTGTTCTTTATTCATTGATTTCAGTTATTCACAGCAGTTGGTCGCACGCACGTGTGCATTTGTGCTAGAGCGCGCGCACCAGACGAAAGGCTACTTTTTCGAGGTTCCAAATCCTCCGAAACCCATGAGAGCAGCCATTTCTGGGTCAATGTCGTCCTCTGTGGTCTGCACCTGCTGCTCCTTCTGCACCCCACAGCACACACAGCATGAGAGGACAAGGGAGGGCATGAGACGACATGCAAGGATGCAAGTGGACATGGGAGGACGCGAGAACATGGGAGGGCGTGAGGACATGAAAAGACACGAGGTCATGGAATATCGAGCATGGAGCACGGAGCTGGAGCATTGAAGCATGGAGTATTTAAAAGCACGGAGCACGGAGCATGGAGCATGGGGCATGAGGCATGAGGCATGCCGGATGGGGCATGGGGCATGGAGCATGGAGCGTGGAGCATGGAGCATGGGGGAATTTGGAGAAGAAGAGCAACAAATACACACCAACAGTCCCCTCCCTGCAACCAGCACCTCTCCTAACATTGCACAAGCGCAGAAGCACCATCCTTCACTGCCCCCTATCAGTCCCTCCCTCCACTCCCATTCTCTCCATCACACCCCACCACACCCCATCCCACCCATCACACCATGTTCTCTCCTCAACCCCCCCGTACTGCACCCACAACCACCACGACTCCAACGACCTTCGCCCTCTCCCTCCTCACCTTCTTCTCCTTCTTTTTCTCCTTTCTCGCCTTCTTCCTCTCCATCTCCTCCTCCTGCTGCTTCAACAGTCGTAGCTCAAAGTCTGCTCAGCACAGCACATGACAGGGAAGAGAGGGGGGGGGGGGAGGCGGAAGAGAGGAGGAAAGTAGGGAGAAGAGAGGGGGAAGAGACGGGGAAGAGAGTGGGAAGGGAGGACGGGAGGGGGAAGAGAGGGGGAGAGAATCTGAAGAAAGTATGAAGAGAGAGGAAAGAGAGCAGGAAGACATAGGGAAAGAAATGGGAAGAGGGTGGGAAGAGAGATGGAAGAGAGTGGGAAGAGAGAGAAAAGAAAGCGGGAATGCATGTAAGCATGGAGAACCTAGGGTAGGCTCAAGATGGGGGAAGATGAGGGGAGAGAAAGGAGAGAGATGGACGCGTCTGAAGCGCCTCTGAAGCGGCCGGAAGGAGCTTCAGCAAGGTTAGGAGGCAGCCCTGAGAGAGGCAGACATCTTTGCGTATTCAACAACAGGCATTCGGAGCAGTGGGAGAAGCAGGAAGGCGCTTTGATGGAAGTATATTCCTCGGAATGAGAATGGAATAGCGCAAGGAAAATAAGGAACAACGACAAGTGAGCTGCGGCATTGGCTGGTGCACGAAGGTCTACGTTCTTCTGCCGCAAGCTCTCTCGCTTCTTGCACTGCTGCTGACAGCAGCGTTGTGAGTTGCAAGAGAAACCGTGAGAGAAATGGACTGGACTGCAGACAGATGCTGCCTGAAAGAACGGTGGAATGAAATGAAGAGCGTCAATCAGACACACGTCACCTTCTCCCCTTGCCCTCCTTGCATTAGAGCGAAGAAGCCACCCACCTCCCACCCCATAACCCACAACCCCCAAATCCCCCTCCTCCCACCCGCCACTTTCCCCAACTCCTAGCACGCTCACGGGCCACGCACCTTGTTCTGTGAACTCCCTTTGTTCCTCTTTGCGCTTCTTGAGAGCGGCGAACCGGCCCTGCACCTGCTCCAAAGACGAACGCTCCACACGCATGGACATGCCCAGTGCCTTCTGGTCTGCAGGGGAGGGAGGGGGGAGGGGAGGGAAGAGAAGGGGAGGGAGAGCGCACATGAATGAGGAACAGAGCATCGGGAGAGAGAGAGAGCAGCAAAACCTGCCTTGAGCCTTCTCTCTCCAGTGACAAATGCAGCATACACGCACACACATGGAGATGGGGAATAGGGAAGAGATGAGGGGAAGATGAGGTGGAGACGGGAGGAAGATGGTGGGAGATGGGGAGGAGATGGAGGAGAGGTGGGGGGGAGACGGGGGTCGGGGTGGATCATTCTGATAGCATCATAAGGCCCAGAGGGCGTGAGTGAGGGAGGAGCGAGGGAGCGAAGGAGTGAGGGAGGGACGAGGGGATGAGAGAAAACAGCAAAAATAGGAGATTGATCATTATCAGGTAGTGTAGGGGCTAGGATATGGAAACATATGCAGCAAAGGGAACAGTGCCCTGCAGCAACAGAGTGGCAGCGAGAGGGGAAGCCGAGGAAAGAGGATGGGCAAGAGAGGAACAGAGGGGGGGGGAAGAGAGGGGACGGGGGAAAGGGGGGGACAGGGAGTGGGGATGACGAGAGAGAAGGGGAGGGAAGCGCGAAAGAGATATGGACCTGGGAGCAGAGCAAGCGAGGAGGAAGGGGGGTTGGTGGTGGTGCGTCGCGAACACGCATGAGACAAGCAAGTGAGAGGCTGAGAGCAACTCACGCTTCTTGCCGTTGATGTGGTCTAGATAATTGGCCGAGTCCTTCACCACGCACTGACACACGTCACAGAAGTAACCTGCCTGGCGGGTGGCAAGGAAGGGGGGGGCAGGAGCATTAGAGAGAGTGCCATAGCGATTCAAACTGCAGCACGCAAGCTCTGGTGCCCGTTGCTACAATCTCCATAATCTGAACAAAGAAAAAACATTTCTAGACTGCACTGCAGCACCTCACATATCTCTCCACCAACCCACCTTCCATCCACCCATTCCCCCACGGGCCACTACCACCCTCTCTCCCCCCCCCACACAACACATCCACACCACGTCGCCTTGCTTCATGTTCTCTTCTCTGCAGTATTTGCCTTGCCATGCCACCCTCAATCGCTCACGGTGGTGGTGCCCCCCCCGCTCCTACCCACTGCACGCTGCCTGCCTAACCCTGCATCCATTTGCCCTACTTCCCACCCCCCCGCCCCCCTTTCTCTCACCTGCTGGTTGAGAGACGCAGTAGGCAGCACGACCTGTGCACACAAGGGATAGCAGATTACAGGGGAGCAGGAAGATGGAACAGAGGACGGGGAACGGGGGATGAGGGAGCGGGGAGGGGGAAGGGGGGAGGGAGAGGAGGGGGGTGGACACTGGCCACGAACAGGGGGCGGGTTAATTGGTGTGGGGGTGTGACGGGGGAGAGGGGGGGGGGGAAGCAGTGGACCTTTGCCTGTTCCTCAACTCAACTCAAATGAACCCAACAATTGCAGAAACAGAGCAGAAACAGATACATGCAGTCAGTCCCCTTTAATTCCGCGCCCACAATTCCGCCCCCCTCATTCATTCATTCCGCCTCCCCCATTCCGCCCCTCTCATTCCGCCCCCTTCATTCCGCCCCCCTCATTCCGCCCCTCTCATTCCACTCCCCTCATTCCGCTCCCCTCATTCCGCCCCCCTAATCCCACCCCTCTCATTCCCCCTCCCCTTGATCCCGCCCCCATCAATCCGCCCCCTCCATTCTCCCCCCCCATCCCACCCGTGTGCCACCGAGGTTGGAAGAGAGGTCCGGTCCAGTCCACCTCCAAGAACCGCTGCTTCAACGGCGCAAGCCCATACCCCCGGCCCCATTCCGCCTTCCTCATGCCGCCCCCCTCATCCCCTCCCTTCCCCCCCCCCCCCCCCCCCCCCCTCATTCCGCCCCTCTCATTCCGCGTCTCCATTCCCCCCCCCCCCATTCCACCTGTGAGCGGCCGAGGTTGGAAGAGAGGTCCAGTCCACCTCCAAGTCCCGCTGCTTCAACGGCGCAAGCCTATACCCCTGGGTTGCCTTTG